CCTCTCTTAGGCTGAGTCTTAGTGTCACTTAGAACCGGCCCTGCTTAAATACCCCCTGTCGTGACTTCCGTACGACTCAACTTGAAGGGTTGCGCCTGTCGGGTGCGCGCGGGTCCTGGCGCGCCCGTGCTTGTCGAAGCTTCGAGAAGAGCGTCAGAGATGCAGAGCGCAGGCGCCCTTGCCTGCAGTCAGTCTACGTGTCGCCGTCGTCGAGTCTGGCCGTTCGCTATCGTTCGTATTCCGTCGCCGCCACTTTGCGTGTCAACTCCTCATACGTCTGCAAGTGGAAGCGGGCATGGAAGCCCGAGGAAGTCCAGCGGAACCGAGCCACGTCGCCCCCACGTAACGGAGACAACTGGGTTCGACCCGTGAGTTAGGCGTAGTAGTCGTATACCTTTGTAGTATTCTCTTATTCGTAGCTATACATGAATCTATGGCATTGATTGTTTGTTATGTAGATATCTCGAGCGGTTTTATCCGCGTTAGTGTTTCTATATTCTATGTGTAGTCAATCAATCTTCTATCGGTGTAGTCAATAGTCCATGCGTTGCTAGCGTAGACAAGGCTAGTTATTCCATCATAGGGTGCGAACATTAACATCAAGGCGTAACCCTGGGGATGTGGTATCGTAGTCAATGGCGGCATATTACAGTCGGGGCTGCTTAGGCCTATTGGGAGTCCGCGTGGCACAGTGGCGGGCAGCGAGCGCGGCGTAAGTCCCCGGCAACCCTCACGCCGACACCGACGCCGCTCCTAAGCAGGGTTGACCCCGATGCTCTTTAGCTTATGCGAGGAGCAAGGCGTCCGTGCCGGCGCGACAGAGTGGGATTACAATAAAGTGGGCGCAGCATGGAAATACAAGCACCAATAGAAGCAGTTTTCAGGGCCCGAAAAAAGCCAGATGTGTCCTTCTCGCGGCCAAAACCGCTCTAAGTTGCAGCGTGTTGGGACCAGGGTCAACCCTATCGTTGTTACTTTTTGAAAAATTTTTACGACCCCCCTCCCCCAAGGTGGATTTGATACGACCCCCTTTTCCACACCTCGACCACCATCATCCTCTCTATAGTATTTAATTCTGATACCACTCAACCCACCAAACTCCGCCCACTTTTTCCTCCAAAAATGCCGTCGGGAGGGGGGGGAGGGTGTATATACGCGCGCTGGAACGGCAACTTTCCTACGGCCCTCTACAGTTTCACCTCAAACTCACATGTGATTTCAAACGACTGAAACGGGTGCGACCCCCCCCCCCTCTCCCTCCTACAAACTCAACCAAGTACAACCCGTCTCCTACAAACTCAACCAAGTACGACCCCCCTCCTACAAACTCAACCAAGTACGACCTCCCGTTGTTACTAGTAACAACGTAGGGTTGACCCTGGTTGGACTGCCAATCGTTTCAGGGATACGCCTCCACCGTCTCTGCCATCAATGTGTTGCCAGCACCATCGTGGTTCGATGATCATTTCAAGGTATTCCACCCCGGGGTGTCAACCCGATAGCCACCGTTCTGCCAACGAGCTACCATGCTTTGATTGATAATGGCATCCCAGGGAAAGTTATAGGGATAGCCACCCAACAGTGGATTTCCTTGTCAAAATGATCATCGCCAACAGTACGCACTGGCACACATCCCTGGCAGAGCCCAGGTGGCAGGCGCAGCTCAGATAAACTGGCCCCCAGGACCGCTGCAATTTGGGCTTTTTTGGCCACGAAAAACTCAAAGACTCGCCTCCATTGGTAACGTTTGAGTTGCGCGACTCTGTCCCATTATCCCTTGCTCGGTCAACGACAAGAAGGAAGTCTTCATTTTTCTTGTTACGAGAAGGATTTTTTCCTTTTTTCGCCCAGTGGGACAATTTTGTCGGAAGCATCCGCACACTACCTGCAAACCCAAATTCGTCGAACCGGTACAGTAATCTGTCGCTCTTGAAGCCGGGTCGGCTAGACCACTTTACCACATTAATTCTGTGAGTGCAAATAGAGAGTCCAACAAATATGTATACCATCAAAAGCTAGGAGTCAGATGATGTGAGTCAGACGAGTAGGTGACTCGAGATGATAGAATGCATGATGATACTCATCAGTCTCGTTTCGGGATAAGCCAAGTATTCGGTTTGCATGACGAATGTGAACTTCGGAGTGGTTTGACAGCGATTTCGATATACACTCAAAGTATAGGTGAAACCCAGTTCTCGGAAGCAGGAAAGCCGCTCCATTGAATCTGTATCCGCTCGGCCCTACTACGGGGAGGAGCATTTTTGGGCTTATCGAACACTAACGGAAAGATGTAAGTAATGTGAACTGATCTCTCTCTGTTCAGGTCTACGTCTACGCTTCACTTTTTCATATTTGACACCGACCGACGGCCACCTACTGTCCGTATTCATCCGTATATCCTGCAATTGCGACTCCACCTTATGTGTCCTGTCACAGGTCGATCCACGCTGGAGCTCCTGCACGCGTTAGCCGCCTCTTTGCGGTAGCCGGTGCTCTAATGTATGCTGTACGATCCAGGACCGTTCCCTTGGGTCATGGCAGGCGGAAATGTGAAAACGTTTCAGGGTTTCTCACCCATTACACCAATATTTATCAGAAGTCTACTTTAAATGAGTCGATTACGTGTCGTGAGCCCTCTAATCCTTATCTTGAGTATTGGAGAAAAAATGGAGTGCCCCCCCCCCCGAACTGGAGTTTCACCCAAGAATTATGAGAGTCAACTCGTAAAAAGGTGTCTGTTTTCTTACAATTCGATAAACCCGGTACCAGTCAACACACGCCTAAGAATAGAAAAGAGGCAAGATTGGCTTGACCCGATTCGGGATTCGATCCCTCTATGTTGCGTGTGGAAGGGGCACTCTCTACCACACTTTTATTACCGATTTCTCTAAGATAAATAAGTTGCAAGTCTTTCCGAACAAAGACGACCAAATATTTGAACACTTGGAAAAAATACGAAGTAGCTGACCTGAAATCGCCTTCTGGCTACGAAATATTTGATTTTCCGAATGGCTCGAATGGCATCTTTGTATTGCTTAGTCAAATCGCAAATACTGAAAGATATGTTTACGTTTACCAGGAGACAACAAAAGCATCTTCTCAACCACAGGGAGAACTTCGAAAATAACCCAGAAAATAATGCTTACTGTGCGATTCTCACTGGCATCGGATTATCATCATTCTCCTCCTGCTCGAGTGCATCCAACCGCGTTTCCGAGGCTGCTTAACAACAACAGACTTTACAGGAAGGAAAAAGTTGATATAGCTTGTTGATGAAGGTTACTTCCGAAATCCTGCCAGGTTTTCGAAAAGACAGTTAGGTTTCCGCGAACTCACTGCCGAATACGCGATCGTCCTCCACGTCGCTGTTTCTGTCCTTGTCCTTTTTTCTTTCGCCCATTTCCAAGTCTACGCTTGCAGCGCTGGGGCGGCTTTTCTTTGAGCTGTTCAGCAAGCTTGATCTGAAAGGAGCATGGCAATTACCCATAGAGCCTCTCGTCTGGGGGCACACTCTCTGTTGGTAAATTTATGTATACAATGATGCGAGTCAACAATTATATTAAGAGGGGTCTTATTCGGTTTGATTTCAGCAGTTCCTTTGATAATTTCCAGTATAGGGTCACACTCACGTTCCTTTCCTTGAACCCCGTTACCTGAACATTGTAATTGTGGGATCTTTTAGAGGACGATTCCACTACAAGGTCGGAGGTCAAAAAAGGGAGAACTTACCTAGTGGAAAGAGAACCGGACCCTTCAAGGGTGAGGCCGACGCTCAATTCCCAGCGAAAGTTGCCCCGGCATTCAATTGTAGCATCCCTTTCCCGCGCCGCCATTGACGCGACACGCCCACCGAGTGGCTAACCAAGTCTCTAGCCGTTTATCAGGGATGGAGAGAGAGCGTAACGTTGAAAAGGGCAGCAACCATGAAAGTTGCAATGTGGAAAGCAAGGGGCTAGAAAGGGGTCCCAATTCTGGTGTTTGGCCAGATCGTTTTTTTTCTGTAGCTTCTTTTCTACCTATGGTTTTTTCTTCATTCCGGCGCTACTGACTATCTCTACCCT